TCCCCAAATCCTGGGAACGAAATGACTGTCTGTGTGTCCTTCCGTCCGTCTGATTGTGAGATCAAAGTCAGCACCAAAAACGTCTGGCCGACTTTCTCCAAAAGTGATATTCTCCAATCAATTTAAATGTACTCAAGGCCTTCTGAATTTGAAATTAAAAAAAAATTAGTGTGTATTTAACATCAAGCAACAACATTTAAAATATTTTGCGTAATGAAATCAATTCTTTGAAAACAGGTCTTAAAATACTGTCACGTATAATTTCTCGAAAATAAGAGGTTTTCGTGTAGTTTTGTAAGATACACAGATAATTTTAAAAAATTAAACATTTTTTCTTAAAAACGGATCAATTTTTTTCCTTAAAGTTTTCTTATCTATCAAAAGACGGTAAAAAATGGCGCTAGTCTCATTTTCGGCAAACTCTCCTAATTTTCAAAAGTTGCAAAAAGGTAACATTTTAAACTATGAAATTTAAGATGTTTTATTCTCTAAGGATCAGCTCTTTAAAAAAGTCTTCAACAATGTTTTGAAAAAAACAATAGCTTTCGTATCTCAAACAGAAAACGCGACGTACTTGAAATTAAAGCAATTGGTAAAGAAGACATTTTCTGATTAAAAAAAAAAAAAAGACAGGGAACGCTTAAAACAAGCTTAATTTTCATTCAACTCTCTGTATTTTCGAAAATTACAAATTTAGAAATAATGCTAGAAAGTGTTTGCTGTTTAGCACTACTAGTTTATTTCAAGCAAACAATTTTGACTTGGTTATGCTCCAACAGCACATACGTTCTTGCACTTAGAAACGGTTACTTAATATTATATTACCGTAATTTCTGTTCATATGAACAGATCTAAGTTATCACTTATAAAATTCATTACAAATCGTAGAATGTTAGATAAGAAAACGAATTCTTTTATAACTAATATATTAACAAATTCGACAACTAAAACTGCGTTTGCAAACAGCTGTAACATCTCCCATCAATGAGAGAGAATTCTCAGAATTTCAAAATGCCATGCCTCCAATTTCAAAACGCCTACTACATCCTTAATTAGCTTTAAAACATGTTCAAACCTTCCTGAATTCAAATGTTTACATAATTAAAATATTTTAGGGCTTTTCTCTTAAGGACCCTCCCTTAATAATTAGTGTCAAATATTGTACAAATGATGAAATGTAGTTCAAAAATTATAGTGACCCTTGAAAGGCATAATTTTGTCGAACAAGGGTAACAAAATTATTTGTAAATAAATAAATTAAAAACAAAAAATCTCTATCAGGTTCCTGTACATTTGCAATATTATTTTTTGTTGTTTGAAATTTTGAAAATAGAGTTTGCCTTGAATAGGGACCAGCGCCATTTTCTTTACACGAAATCTCCGGGACGTTTTCCAAACTTTCTCAAAAAAAAAAAAAAAAAAAAAAAAAAAAAAAAAAAAAAAAAAAAATCAAAGTTTTACTTCCATATATACTATACTACGTTTTATTTATATGCTTGAACATCACCATAGTAACGTCACCAGCGACATGCAAACTCCCCAATGGATGGTGCCGTCAACAGCTGATTTACTTCAAACGCACGTATAATCCAAGTATACTTACTTAATGCAGCGGAAAACAAAAGCCGATTTTTCAACAGAATTCTCATACTGTGTGGCCCCAATACCGAAGTAGGGTATAAAGCATGTTCCAATATGTAGTAAGTGATTTCCTGTAACACGTTTTGTAGTCAGAATCCCAGTTTTATGGGTCCTTGATTCCCAAAAGTTGGTTTGCGGCAAAACATCAATACGTATACTGCGAGTCTGTCAACAATGTTAGTGGTTAAACCGTGGGCAGAATTTGACCAAAATCGATTTTCCCCGATCGACCTGTTTTATGTCACAGGACCTTCAATTTGAAGGGGGGTATTTTATATGAAGCCTGAATATTTTCAAAATTTTCTCAAAATGGCTCAATTTTTTTTTTTACAATTTATTTTTGGGATAGAACAAAAATCGCACATAAAAATGATGCATGATTAATTTTCGGAAATTGTAAAAGTTCAAAATTTTTTCTTAGCCTTCCAACTACAATACTAAACATATTGATGATTCATTTCTTCAAATGAAATTTGTTCTCCACAATTCTTTTTTTTTAATGTCATGTTAAGTTTTTGAAAATATGAGTAGTTGCGCAATTCTGAGTAAAATTTGGGCAATATTAAAAATATGATCATCTCAAAAACGGTTCCAAATGTTTTCTTTAAACTTCATGAATGGAAATGAATGGCTGCACTCCATGGTACAAATGCCATTTTGAGATGTTCTTTTGATTTTATTTACATTATGGGCATTTGTATACATGATTTATTTATATAGGTACTATTATTGCATTTGTGAGTACAAGTACTTCAAATGATTTCTTATGAAATTGCCATTTGTCCATGTCTGTGCGTCTCTTAAAGTCTTCAGTCCATATGTATCAGCACTCATCTTGCCTTGTTTGAAGTAGGTCTGAATTCTGGGTTTTAATGTAGAAGGTCTGTATCTAGCAGTAAGAGGTTTTTTGTCGATGGCTTCTTATAAATATTATTTAACTGTCATCTTCCTGTACTATATTAGATATTGTGTAATGTACAGTAGTATTGGAGGTGAAAAAGTCAATTTTTTATTTATGTCATTTAAGGGTTATTTAAAAGGTGATGCACAAAAACATGACATATGTATTGCTCTTTAAAAAGCCTTAAATCCCAGGTGAAAGTAGGTATTCAATATAATGGTTAAAACTTGGAACTTCTGTATGTTTGAATGAATTAATTGAAACTCATGAAAGTAGTGAACTTGACATTACATTCTTTACAGTTGACACAACAAATATGAAGAGACTATGAGATTCAACATAAGTCAAGATGAGCTATTCACCATTTGCCAAAAGAAAACATAGACTTCTGTTGATTTTGAAACCAAATAAAATTGATTCCAATAATCCTTTAACCATTTGAATAACTTCAGAAATATAAATTCCAATTTTCTCTCAGAGATCTTGATCTAACTGGAAGATATACAAAATTCACAAGAACCACATCATACACTATCTCAATATTACAATCTCTCTTTCTTTTTAACGTCAATAACATTCTACAAAAATGCATAAAATAGAAGATTCTTAAGATACTTTTTGATTTAAGAACTTGAAAGTATTCAATGCTGGAAAACAAAAAGGAAACCTCTCTGTTGGCTTCTCTTATTGCTTTGATTACTCACGATTTTTTGTCAATCTACGATAAATTAATATTAAAAGAAGTCACAACAAAATAATATTTTATTTTACTTCTCCAAAACATAATTCAAGATTTATGTATCAATTTAATAAATCGTCAATTTCGTCACATGGCCTACAATTTTAATGAAATGTTTCAAGAGAATTAACTTTTGAGTTCATACTTGAACTTCATGAAAAAAATGTATGTATTTAAAGGAAAGTGCAATAAAGTTCGTGAGTATAGTAAAATAATTAATATAGGAGCAAAAAAACAATTAAATCACATTTACATGCATTTTGTAACTGATTTTAACTGATCAATATTCTGAGATCAGAGTTTAACAGAAATATTATTACACTGATATGGAAACTGCCTGAGGTAGATGATTAATCCTGATGTCTCTTAATTCCCATATTAAAAAACAAACCTATTTTTTTTATCAGTGCAAAATGTATGCATGTACTTGGCACGACAGCCTATGAATGAGCTCCGGCCTACCAGATCTGTGCAAAATTAAAGAGGGAAAACCCAAAGACTCCTCCAAATTAAACTCAGAACCAAACAGCTACTGACTTGTCATGGTGCTGGGTTGATTTTTATACACTGACATCTCAGTATGATTATATTATTAATAACATTAATTATATACTAAACTATTCTTATTATATAATTATGTAAAAATGAAGATACACAATACATTTTAATACTACAATGGCTATAGAGACTGTGGAAATTTTTATTCATATAATTAGTATTTGATGAAATGTTTAGAAATATTTCTCACTAAAAATATCTTTATCTCTAAATTTTACTGTGAACGGATATTGAAAGAAAACTATGTAGCCTCCAGCCATGAGTAAAACATTTAAGGTTTTGTTAGATATTCAGGACATTGGGAGAAATTCCCTCCCAAGAAATGAAACAACTTCGATTTGGACTGAAAATGCAAATATTTGATTGTTGTTCTGCCTAATCTCATTCTGTGCATATTCGCTGAATTCCCATACTCAGTGCATCACAGCTCAGGATGCAGCTGATGTCATGCAACAGCACCTTTTAAATATTTGCTACTGACTAGACACATAATGGAACTTCTACCCAAAGTACGTCATAGTTTTAAACTGTTTTTGATATTCAATAGATAACTGAACTGTTTTGATATTTTTGGCATGTAAAGTTCGATTCATAAGTGTTTCTGGGCAAGTCTGCTTAGGTCCCGTAAGTGTAGATCATTTTTTAATTCCGGGAAATGGCAATGATTTTCTCCCACTGATATATAGAAAGATCTGGTGCCAATCAACACGTTGGCTTGCAGGATTTTTCCAAACCAGGTATATGCCACCAGTGGTGCACAGCCCCAACCAGGACAAGCTCTTAGCTCCCAACATGTGTGGTAGTGCATGAAAGTGTAAGTGTGTGTAAGAATGAGGTGAAGGTAGAACAAGGAAAAAGAAGGAAAGATAGCACACTGTCAGTGGCCTCTTTGTTAGGATATTGCTCAGTCATTCGCCATTGGGGAAACCATGAAAAACTACCTATTAGAGCAGCCGGACGCTAGAATTCTCCTCTGTAGGGTGGCTGAATTCGATGTAGCTGTGCCAAAAAGCTAGACGTCAGCTCGAACCCTAAGACCTCCCAAGCAGAGGCACTGCAGTGACATTAATTGATGCCCTTAGCTGGCCCAGGCAGTAGGTATGTAAAATATATTGTACCATCTACCCGAAAAACAGGTACTTGATTTTAATACTACTTATTGGCAATTAATGGAAATATTTCTTTTAGATAACAAGATAACAGCATTACATTTCTTCCAAACTTTTTATTATTGATTCAACAAGTCAATTATTTTAACAATGAAAAAAGAGGGATATGCCTGATATTTTGTCTGCTGATTCACAGACTTCATGTGTTATGTTAACAATGATTTAGTATGGAAACCAATACAATAAAAAACACAAAACTAAAAGCTTTGTGAAGTTACCAAAATTTACGATTTTTATACAATCACTCAAAAAATATGAAAACACAAAACAACCACCTAACACTATCTCAAATATTAAACTACTTCAATAAAAACTGTATTTACAATATTTACATTAAATTCTAACATTAAGAGATTCATGTAAGATACTTAACAACCGAATTGCCAGCAGATATTAGCTGGCTACATGTTTATGATATTTATGGAAAGGTTTTGTAAAGGAAAAATTCAAAATATAAAGGTAAAAGGGACTCAATCGATAGAATCATAATAGAACAAAAGCCACCTAAAATAAGTAACACCAAAAATTCAAAATTAAATTTATCTAGTACTTGAGTACAAAAAAATCCAAAGACTAAGCAACATGTATGGAAAACACCAACCACTTAAAGTGGCAAAAAAACAAACAAACAAAACAAAACAAGAAGACCACGGAGACATTAAAACAATTTTGATAATTTTATCATATAATTTGGTCATTAAAAGATGAATATTTTTAGAATATAAAAACATTTTAGAAAATGGTCTAAACTTTCAATAGGTTCTAAGTTGAAAATAGTAACAATAGTCCAATCCATTTAATTAGTAGAAGTGATTGGAAATTTCTTCCCAGTTTCATATTTTTGAGGCCTGACACTAAAAACTAAAGGCATAAGTACACATGGATAGTATACAGCTTTCCCAAAAATACACAGAGAATAAAATTCATAACCTATTGATGTTACTCCCAACTTGGGATATACTGGTCTCAACAACGGCAATTTCTTAATGATTTTTTATATGAAACTGAACACAATATATAATATTTGAAGTGATTTTAACACCGATTTACAGTTGGTAAAACTAAGGAATGAATATTCAAATTCAGAACCAACCGTTCCTTATGAATGCATATTTCCATTTATTTTCATAGGAACAGCTGATGTGGAATGTCTCCACGTCTAAATATATCAGACATTTTTTATACTTTTTCATTTAAATTCCTATGCTACATCAATTCTTTGTACAAAAAAATATTTCCTCCTAATTTTAGCATGCATTTACTGCAAATAATAGAGTTCAAATTCAATTAAAACACTTCACAAGTGTCAAAAAATGTCTATTAGTCTCTGCTGTCACAAAACAATAGTTAATGCAATGGATATTGAAAACATTATGGTTTCATTTAGTATCTTCTAAATTGTTTCTTGAATCTTTCATAATGGTAGTCATCAGTTGCTTTCTCTCCATTTTCACGAGACCATTTAGACTTATTATCATTACTAGGGCCAACAAATGCTGCACTTGCTGTTTTTCTGTGAGTATTATTTTTATCTTTGCATTTTGGAGGTTCCGGATCTTCAATATTAAATCTATTGTGTTGTACAAAATTGACAGCCATGTTTGTTGGAACAAATTGAGATGGTGCATCCTTTTTACTACGTCTTTCCCACAACAGTTTGAGTTTAGCCTCTTCAGTAGCTTCAATATTACGGATTTTTGCATCTATTCCTAAGTCAACTTCAGGTATCCCACTCAGCATCTGATTGGAGAGCATTTCTTCTGAACGATGAGTTGATGATGCTCTTAGATGCTCCGGAACTGCTTGCAAAGCAGCTTCTTCAGGGGAACAATATTTGTTGGCCTCATTTTTCTTAGCTTCTTCCTCTTGTTTCAGTTGACCTTTTCTTTTTGACAACTCCTCCTCAATATACTTCATCATTTCTTCATCCTCATCTCTCTTGTTGGTTTCAGCAGAGAATTGTGTTCCTATACCAGTGTCGTAAGCATCATCAACACGTTTTACTTTACCACTCTTTAAAGCATTCATGTCAATCATGCCTCCTGTTTTTACTTTAAAAGGGTCATTTACTAATGTTTCATCCTCTGCAGCGACTTTCTTGCCAAGAGCCAAACTCACAATGCTAACACCATTCTGACGGCGACGAAGCTTCTGGGCAGTTTTCATTTCCTCCAGGGTAACACTGATGTTAACTTCATCCTCCGGATCATTTTCATCGTCTGGGGTAGATTCGCGCTGTCGCAACATCTTCCTTTTCTTCGGTTTGAACTTGAAAGTTACCCCTGATTCTTTACCCTCATTTTCTTTTAGAGTTGATTTTCCTGCATCCATTACTAGAGCAAATTAATTAATGGAATTAGAAAATCTTACAAGATAATGTCATAAAATACAAGAGGCATGTTCTTCGAAGTATTTTATATCATCTAATACTACACTTACTTTAAAAGCAAATGGAGATGTACGAATATTTTCTTCGCGCAAGAGCTATTATCAATACAGTGAATACTAACTAGATATTTTTTTAATATCTCTTAACTGCTCTTAACCTTTACAGTAAACACTGACGAAACACATTCATCTGTCACAAGTGCAACGCCCGATGGTGGTACAGTGCCAGCAACCAACTCTCGCGATCTGTGGTATCGTGTTTCCATGTTGGTGACCTTGCTTTGGCGCCAGCTTTGAGATTTTTCCAGGATTAAAATGTACGACAGCTGATTACCTTGGGCAAGGTAACCTATAAGGGATCTTCAATTTTTGAAATTGAAGCTTCTAATCGGATAATCAAGAACCAGATATCAAAGGCATATACATTTTAATGCAAAAATATTATTTAAAATAAAAGAAAGAAAAGTTCAACTAATGACTCTATGGCACACAAATGATTGTGATACACATAAAATTCATTAATATTTTGATGTACTTTTCACATATCTTCTGCACAAATTTTTGGACATCATAAAATTCCCAATTTGCAGACAAAAGAACAGCTTCACCAAAATCCAGGATACCATTGTAGTGTAATAATCAATAACTAGCTGAATGTGGCGTCGCAAACGCTTTAAAATTCCTTCGGTTTTTTAATTTTAATTTTTTTCTTTTTTGGTTCAAAGTCCTCTTTATTAGTTTACATGTTTCGTCAGCGTTGCGACTTAACCGCTAAAATTTTGCAATTATTTTGTGATATTGCGCACGATTTCTACCTTTTGCTTTTCTGAATTTATGTAATGTAATTGTTTCATAAAACTGACTTCGCCAAGGGATATTTCGAAATGTTTTCTCTCAATTTGTTGTAGAACGTATTTTTAAAATCAATTTGAAAACCACACGACTTAGTCGTCAAACATGTATTTATGTGTTGCATCTCCGGGTCACTTGGCATATCCTGATTTCTCACAAACATCTTCTCGATATTCTTTAATGACAGACGCAGCGACTGGCTCGCCAATATCACTATGCTCTTTTCGAACATGTGCACCCACAGCCGCTTTATTCAGGCAACTCCATAGGCCCTCCACTTATTTAGTTCATTTTCCGTGAAAATAAATTCACATTTGTATTCCAGTATTCTTTGTCTTCTAAGATTTCTTCTGCGTCTTCTTCAACGACTTCCTCTTCCTCCACATCTTTATCTTCGCCTCTCTCTTCGAAGATTGTCTTTATGTACTAGAGTTCCATCAATGCCACCCTCATAGATCTATGTAGGTGGCGTTGGTTTAATTCCCGTCATACACACCAAGATCGCAGCGCGAAAACACGAAAAAACAAGTTTTTGATAATTTCTTAGAATATTGTGGTTGGATCCGAAAACCAATTATCAGTTCCCAATCAGGAACCACATATTCGCACATTCGAGGAGTTACTCAAATACTATGTAGGGATGTGTCTGAACTCATGCCCAAAATCATTGAGGAGAAAAAACAACAATCGAACATTTTAAAATAAAATTAAAATTTTACTAATATTCAAAGTTAATAAACGTATATAAAATTAGTATTAAAATAATTAACATAATCAATTTTATAAAATTATCTTTATATCATCTTAATTAGTCTTCTTCCCATCTTTGTATCATTGCAAATGCCTTGGGAGCAAATATTCAACTCATAAATCTTTATTATCTTTTCACTTGTAACACAGACTTAAATACTGTAGTTTATTTTCCATTCCTATTGTCAAAAGTTTCTCTATTTATTGAAGGCTAAATAGTTTCCAGAATATTTTTCTTAGGAGACACAACAAATATTTATACAATCTTGAATAGACATTCCTACACCATTCAATTTTACACTCTGTTTTGCCTTTTCTTCACAAATTGAAAGAATTTTGAATTTTCTCCAATAGTGATGCCCTAATCGCGTGACTTATATTAGTTCGGACTGGCAGCACCGTCGACTCTGGGTAGCAAGCGGCAGGCTGCTAGAAGCAGTGAACTTATGGATAAAATACAATAAAAGCATCGATTTTTTTTAAAACGTGATTATTCTTTTAGATTATTTTTTGTAATTGCAAAGTATTTCACTTCATTAATTTTCAAGCTTTCTTTTCTATTAATTGACATACATACTTTTTTTTAAAATTTTGTTTTACTCTCGCTTTCCTACTTTCTTCCACTATTTTGGTTACTAATCTTTCTAGATCTCATCTCTTATCAATAATAAGTGTAGTATCACCTGCATATTTTAAGTTGTTGATTTGCTTTCCCCTGATTCTAACATTTGTGACCATTTCTTATCTATTAGTCATTCTCATGATGTGTTCTGTAGATAGGTTAAATCACAGCCCACTAGTTGGCCATAGTTGAAGAGTCCTGATGGCAGTGCATTCTTTTCTTACACCTTTGATCACTTGGAACGTACATTTTTATTTTTTTGTACTTTTGTCTCTTGATTGTAGTTATTGTATAAAGTGATTTGATAAATACAACCAGATGTATTGGTGTCCCAATCTTTTTAGGTATCTGCTACATTTGTTCATAATCAATTCAGTCAAATGCTTTTCAGTAGACCAGAAAGCACAGATACATATCTTGTTGAAATTCCTAAGTTTCTTCCATAATTCATATCAGGTTAGATATTTGATCTCTTGGGCCTCTTACTTTTCTAAACCCCATCTGCTCCTGCAGATTTACCTCTCCACAAATCAAATTAAATTCCTGGGTTTTATTTTTCAAATTATTTATTAAAGAGGTTCTTTCACACATATTTACAAGACAAAAATACATCTGTACAATTTTTTTCAGAAAGTGAATAAGATACTTTACAACCACCTTCATGAAAAAAGGAATTTTCATTAAATTACAAAAAAAGAAGTACAACTATTATTTCTACCTCTTTATGAATCAGTCTTTTCCTGAACATACCAATTTTTATAAAAATGTACATACCAACACAATATTGTTAATTCCATTCCACAGAAGGCATACATACATTAGCATGTCTTGTTATAAAGGTCAGTTTAGAAAATTAATCCCTCCAGTTCTTACTAAAGAAAATTGTAGCTTCCAAATTCTAGCTATATTCCTCAAGAGAAATTTAATACACACTACTTTCTTGCAAATTAAAAATCTAAAAAGAAACACATGGGAAAATATTACATGGTCAACAAAATTTAAGAATTTTATGGAAATTACTTATTTCCATAAATGCTCCTTGTACCTCAGAGCTAAAAATGACTCCTCTGATACCTTACAAAACGATTCTAAAAATTTTGCTTCTCTATAACAGTATTTTCATACCACTATGAAACCTGGAAATCTTATTAAGAAATGTGGGTAATCATTAAGATTTGGTCTAATTTCTGTACACTGTCAAAATCATGTTTAATTTACATGGTCACCTTCCTCTTAAAAATTGCACAAATGTTTAATCACACTTGTAAAAACAAATACATTCAGAATTATAAACCTCATTTGTATTTGCCACGTTATGCATTGGCAGGATTTGCATGTAACTGAAAAAAATTACATTTAGTCTAGCATTCACAAAAATAATTATTTTGTTTTTAGAGTGTTTTGATTAAATTCCCGAACTGACCTTCACTTTGAAATAACTTAATCATTTTTGTATTTCCAGGCACTTCGTAAAATTATTTATTGAGCTATATGGATTTTGGAAAATATATAATATTCTAAGGTGTTTCCCTAAAATGCTGTGATTCCTTCTTTTCATTAAGAAACAAAATTATGAGCAACATACTGAACAATATTTTGATATCAAACAAAATGACTTCATATACATTTTTATACTTAAACTATTGTTAGAAAAAAATATAACTGAACATTCAATACAAAAATTAAGATGATCCTTTTTAAAGAGACAGAATATGAACTGCAGAGAGATGATTGGAGTAAACAAATTTAACATAATTTTTGCTGTATAAAAGTTCAAAAATGTTTTGTAAAATATACAAAATAAAATAACAAATTACTTAAAAATAATGTAATAATCAGTTCATTGAAAAAAGGCAAGAAAATGTTTCAGAAGTTAAGAAAAATATTTGCCTAAAAACTGTGAGATTTTGGACCGAAAACTGATGACAGAATCTTAAATGCAGTCATTCTAGCATGTTCTTGAAATGCAACACGAAAAATGCAGCACTAAAAAGATTTACATATTACACTTTTTCCTTATTCACAACAACAACTTTTTTGTAAGGATTTCATAAGCCATTTTTACTCTGAAATATGGCATATGCTCTTGTGAAAATGTTAATTTTGTCAAACGACAGATATATTCTGCATATGTACAAGCAAATACTCCACAATCACAGCCATTCAACTGCTCTGGAATATCCTGGAAAATAAGATAGAAATATTACAATGTATTCTCAAACAGTGCTTAAAAAGTTGATGTACTTGCACCAAACGTTCTGGACTATTTTTAATTTCTCACCTACTATGTATTTAAAACATGTAAAAGTATTGTAATGCTGAAGTGGAAAGTGGAGATTGTTCATGGAGAGTTTTGAGGCACTGATATTGAAAAAGTGGATAATTCTGGCTTGTAGATGTAAATTATTTCCTCTACCATGTTGTGTATTCCGAATCAATGTTTTGTGGATCCTTGATGTTGCAAAACTGGTTTACATACAGGAACATATTGTCCATCTGTTAGTATGTGTCAGTCAGGCCATCTGTTTGTCTGTGGTTAACACTAGCACCTTATCTGTCCAGACAATTTTCTCCAAAATAGATACTCGTTTGACCTGGCGAAATTCAAGGATCCTTGAATTCAAAACATTTTGATTTTTAGTGGACTTTACATGCAGCCTGAACATTTTCAAAACTTTCTCAAAAATGACTAAATTTTTGGATTCCTTTTTTACCTCAATAGAAAAAAATGCTTAAAGAAATGGTCCACATCTCGCATTTCTTGAACTGTAAATTTTGTAAAATTGCAAAAACTCAACACTGCAGATTGCTCTTACAATACTGCAGATTGAGTTCTTTTTGCTTCATGAAATCTGTTTTCAAAGACAGATCTTTAAATATGGCCAGAAACAGTTTTTCAAAAATGAGTAATTTTCACGTAATTTTACATGAAATATTGGCAATAAACATTTTTTCCTCAAAAACAGTTCCAAATTATTTTAAAATCTCGAATAGAACAAAGCATGCTTTTTAAAATGTCACATGTTCCATATTATTTTTCCTTAAGAATTTTCAAAAATTGTAAAAGTTATAAATATTGCGAGAAAGTAGTTTTCTACTTATACATAGTTTTGGCAACTACTTTTGATCAACAGTTACTGTTTATTTTTGAAGTTTGAATAAATTGTCTTCACTTATTTTATGTGATACAATTTATCATACATTAATTTTATTATTTAGAACACATTGATGTTGTAAGTGGTAAAAATAGTTCTTCAAAGAAGTGAACTAGTTTGCATACAATCTTTCTTTAGTTCACCAATTCCAAAATGTACCTACCATTTACCATCTTATCCTTTTCTGCCTTAACTATATTCATCCTGTAGGGAACTAAAAAAAGCTATGGTGGACAAGAAATACCTTTTGCTTGTCCCCAAGATACTGCCACGACACATTGAAATAGTTTAGAATGAGCAGCTTAAACAACCAGTCACAAGAGAGAGTTACCATCTGTAAACTAAATTCAGTTTCCAGTTGTTTTTTTTTCTTTTTCTTTTATGGTTTGGAATAATCACTATACATTGCATGGGGAATAGGCCTCTGAGATTTATTAGTAAAATATCTGTCCTGTTACATTTGGACATTATGTCCAATGCTGTTATCCTTTTTAATTCTCGAAGCCTCCCCATTAAATGGAAACGTTCTAATTCTGCAACTTCGAAAATCACTCCCAGAAATGAAATCAATATAAATTTCAGTTCTCGAATTGAAAAATTTGGAGATCTTTGATTAGTACATGAAATAATGTTTGAAACACTTACTTTTATAAGTGAAACTATGTACAGGAACTCTGAGTTACTCCATTTTTGGCATTAATTCAATTTTTACAGTAAATTTTAAGTTTTGCCTATTTTTATTGTTCATTAATATTGATAATTATTTTACTTTATTTAATTTTATCTCCAATACTGATCTACATTTTTCTGTTTTTAAATTTAAAGAAGTGAATTGGTATCCGTTACAACTGTTTCATGACAACAGCAATTGCAATATTTCTTGAATAATATTTTTAAACCAATGTGTACATTATGTTGAACTATAATCCGATGTTTGCACCCCCAATTCTACTTCCCTACAACATCCTTTTGGAATTCTCCATTGAACTCATGCCAGTTTTTTTGTTGCAGCTCAATGACTGCCAACCATAGATTACCTTAGATCATTAATTTGGGGCATTGGAAGTAAAAAGCTTTTTAAGCAAAAATTGCTTACCTTACAATTAACTATTTCCCAGCCAGCTGTATTGAATTCTTTCTTCTTTTTGTCCAGATGTTCATCCTGCAAGTACTTCAATAATGTCTGAAAGAAGCAACAATGTCTATTCATTGATACTTATTTCACTGAGTTACATCACTATTATTACTAAGTTAGCATATAACTATTTATTATCAATGACCAGACCATACAGAAGAACCAGGCAACTGTATTACATTGAAAAACATTTTTTTTGTAACAAACTTGCAAGGCGCAAATACAATTTTTTTAACACGAAAATACCTGTCAGACACACTATGCTAGACTAGTTAAAAGTATCAATACAAAATATCACAGTTCATGTAAGTGCCCCACAAACGTTTTCAGAAATATTTCACAATTAAAGGCTGGATACAAAGAAACTGAATACAAAAGAAAGGAAAGGAATTAATTTGTCTCTTAAATCTTAGATAACACTGAAGCAAACATACCTGACCACAATCATCGTTATTGTTATTGTCATGCATACTGTCATAATATTCAATTCTCTTTTCAATAAAATTAACGGCTGCCAGACACCAATGAACTTTCATATGAATTGGAATTATCAGTATGTCATATGAAAATAAATCAACCTGCAACAGCAAAAATCATTAATATTAATGGGACAATAATACAATCCCCCCCAACTGATGCATTCAGTCCAAAAATAGTTCGTGTAATTACAATTGATCAAATAACGAAAGTATTGATGCTGCTTAATTCCAAACATGATTGGTCATATCCAGTTAATAATTAACCACTCTAATTAGAATATAAAGGAAATGGGTTATACAATGTACTCTGTCAGTGCATGCCAGAGCAGCCATTATTTCAAAAATTTTCATCTGATAATATGGCCATTAGCAGCTCTTCTAGGGCTTCAAATGTCAAAACATAATAATATGCGTCTTTTACAATATCTCTGATTTACATACATTCCAATCAAAAGACATAATTTAACTCTTAAGCAGTCATGGTTTACATTAGCTAGCTTCTCTTCTGTTACATATTTCTTGTATATTTCACTTGCACTGAAACATCAGGTACCATTGTATGAGAATTATCTTTCTAACATCATTGGAAGGAACTGTACTTTTCTTAAGCTACTTCCCATTTCGTTGGCATTAAATGTTTCCGACTACCTCACGCAACTCTTCATTCCGAATATGGTAGTGAGTACTAATTTTTAGTACACTTACACTTCAATTACAGAAATTCTCAGAGAAAAGTTCCTGTGTTTTCTTGTCTCAGTTTTATAAAGCCTGTTATAAAAAAAGGACAAACATCCATCACATCTCCATATGACTATTGTGTTGCCATAACGTCTCGTAATTTTCTTTGCTTCCTGTCATTTTCTAAAAATGAAAATGTAATTCTTCTTTTACATTAGTACTTCTTAAACATTTTACAAAGTACAGTTTTGTTCTCAGGTCTAGCAACACTGTACGCAACCAATAGCCAATAGCATCTTTTGCATGCTCGCAACCACTAAAGGGTTAAGGAGAATCTTTAAAGAAAACCATTATTACCTAAAACATTCTGGATAGTCCAATGGAAGGTTACAGTTGGACTTCAGGGAGTTGCAAAGTTTATGAAGGTAGTTCTTCAGAGAAAATTAATCGTACCCAATACATGAAGTGTAGCTTCCGAGCAGAGAAATGTTCATAATATAAAATAATAATAATAATAATAATAAAGTGTTTCAAATTTGTGTATTATTTGTCTATTTATTCTAATACTTTTGGTCATTCCATTCTAAATTTATAACAGTAGGGTTTCAGATTATCTCAGGAGAATAGTAAAAGAAATTGTATCTTGTAAAGATAAATTAACTTATTTTAGACACAAAATTCATGATTAAAAAATTTAACTTAACACATACATTTATTAATAAATTAAAAAATATTTATAAATCCAGAAGCAACCTTTTATTTACAGTGGTAATAGTAAGATTTAATTCACAATAATGCAATCAAGCACATTTCATGATGGAGTCATAAAAATGTTCTGGGATACAAAAATGTTAAGTTCGAGCTTAATATGTGATGTTGGGTGTAAGGGTTGAGTGTTGGAGATTGTGCATTGGTTGACTCTCCATCTCAGAAAAAAATCATGTTTAGGTGATTAATTTCAGTATGTTTTGGCTGTTCAAAACAGTTTTTTTAAACAAAAAATTATCATGTGGCCATTTTTGTTTTAATCTGAACATTATTTTTTGCCTTTACGGTTTTGTAAAATCAGTGCGAGATTGTTGTAGCTTTTTTAAACTAAATTGCATTGGATTCTGTAGACTCTGGCCTACAAATTCAAAGTATAATTATCTACCAAATAGTTTTATTCAGGCAATATTTGCAACCAAAACTAATGAATGCAGATGAACAAATTTTGTTTTGCAGAGAGAAATATTTCAAATAAGGCATAGAGTTACAGCCTTAAATTTTACTTTCTTGCTACCGCTTATCCAGTACAGAGAAAGTTACTTATGCTGTGCAAATTTTCAGCAGAAAACTCTTATGACAGGACCCTGGTAACAAAAGAAGTCGATAGATCTAGTTGCTGAATTTAGGAAAAAAATCCTCATAACATGTGGTGTAATCAGAATCCATATTTTGTGGGTCCTTCATACTGAAAAATTGAATGACAGCTAATGTCTGTTAGTCCATCCGTCTGCTAGTGGCTAAATCATATAGCTGATTTTCTCAAAAAATTGATATTCCCCAATCGATCTGGAGGATGATGTCGTGGCCCCTTGAATTTGAAACTGATATTTTAATTTTAGGGTGTACATTACACGAAGACCCTGGGACATTTCCAAATTTTCAAAAAAATTGCTCCGTTGTTTATTATTCGATTTTTTTTGTTGGATAGTGTGAAGGACATATAAGAGAATGGTGCAGGTCGCTAGTTCGCAGGAAACTGATTTTTCGAAAATTGCAAAATTACAATTTTTTTTCAATATCTTGCTGTAACTACAATTATGAAGATAGAAATATTTTCTCTTAATGAAATATGTTCCTTAAAAATGGATTTTGAAATAAGGTCATTTACAATTTTTCGAATATTTTAGAACTTTTCTTGTAATTTTACGTGAAATTCAGTTTTAGCACCAGTAGTTTCTGTACATTTACATGTAACTGTAAAGTTACTTTATGCAATATATGAATCGTAAATAATGGGCCACAAGAAAAAACACACTCCTCAAAAAATTGGAATTTTGTTTCTGAATTTTGAACTATCATACCATCTCTGTTGGAGAACAAGCTAAAAATTTGAAATTTGCATACATAAAGAATAGCTATGATACCAAACTGCAGAATAAATTTAAACTTTAGAGAGTTAACTCAAAGTGGGTTTAAAAAAATTGTAAATTTATCAAAAAAAGTTTCATTTCCATATTGGGGAGAAGTGGTAGCAAGGAATAGTACTTTGCTTTACAATAATTATTAATATTTTATAATAAACTAACATACAAACTGTGTAATATATAATATTGAATGGATGATTTGAACTGCATGAATGTGGACAAGCTGATTCAAGGTTCAGTTTTGCATTCAAGCCTCTTCCTTGAGCATGCTTAATCCAGCGCAACAGCAAAACAATGAAAATTATATGTGCAAATATTAAACATAGATGCCACGCAATATTGACTGATAAATAACAAAATATGATTCTAATGATTCAAAATCTTTTCCAAGCTACAAACAATGTTAAGGATTGAGGAAGTATCAGTCATAAAGTATATTACAATATAAATTTAGTATAAAGAATAAACAGCCATACATGTGTTTTGGTTCTACATATGTAAATACAAGATTGCACTGAATTAATGTGTTTAATCTATGACACTTGGAGCCATTGAAGACAGGATACATTAATCCTGAAAAACATGCATGGCCATTTATTCTTTATATTAAATTTATATTCTAATATACTTTGTGGTTGATATCTTCTCGATCCTTAATTAATAATCATTAAGGATTACTACAATATCTCTGCTGCCACAACGGAATTGAAAAAAAAAAAAAGAAATGCTATTTTATATCAAAGAATTGTAGTTTTACAAGAGAAAAAGTTACAAGTAATTAACTTTACGAAGAAACAAGATGAAAATTTATAGTATGTTTCTTCCAAATTTCTTTCACACTTCTTAAACCAGAGTCAGCTCTGAGTAGTAGTATAGAAGAAAACTGTTCTAGCTCACTCATAAGAACCTCGTCTGAAGAAACTGTTGCCATAAAGTTTGTACAAAAAAAGGAATATTATATTACTGGAACTACGCCACAACAGGGGCAGCTATTCAGGGAAAGTAGATGAAGCGGCACTCACCAATTATTTATAAAAGAATTATATTTTTAATTTATTTTCTTTATCTTATGGTACAGGTATGTTGATTTTAATACAAATATACGTGTATTTTTGAACGGCATGCGAGCGGAACTCTACTGGGCAGTTAAAACTCACGAAGGTGCCAGATAACTGAATCACTGACCATGCTGACTGCTGATGTGAAGAAGGCAGTCTTTTAATGCATCTCAACCTCTATTGTTCGGCTTGCCTTGGTGGTTTATGTGGTAACCGTGACATCACCCGCGATAACAGCATGGACTCCATGCTACTGCGGTCATACCAGTGGAGTAGAGGCCAAAGAAATATGATATGGCTCCCAGTATGAAGTTACGTTTGTACCACGCTTCATTAATAGTGCCGTGGTGATTAAAAAAAGATTCCTGTGTATGATCGAGTGTATATTTTATTAGAAAAACAATTTTTTGTTGGAAAGACTAAGACAAGGCAGTTTTAAGTTGTAGGCTTCCTATCGATTCTCTCTAAATATCTGGTATAAAAGTTCAATATTTAGGAAAAAACTACAACCTTAGTTTCAAACAGGTATAGTTCAAAGGATTCCTGTAATTATGTTCCTCCCCAACTCTAAAAAATTGTTTTGTTGGACATTCTTCATTTTTAGCAATAAAAACAATCTTTGGAACAGTAAAATATTAGCCGCTTTTTTTTTTACGTTTTGATAAACACTCGACTTTGGAAGAGCATATAAAATTAATCTATCAAGTGCATTTCAGATTTCAAAAATGATTTTGCATAATCAGAATTGTCAATGTCTGATTATTCATGCACAAGTAGATGATATGACAGATACATAAGATATACAGGTGTCTCGCTGTTTCTTTGAGAAATATTGTAATTTAGAAGCAACTACTTCTGCAAATAATAAAGAAATATATGACTGAAGATATCACACACAAGTCTGTAGGCTTGAAGGACCAAAGGATTGATATAATATACAAAAGTCAGCAATTTCAATTATTAAGATAGGCTTGTGTAAATTTACATTTCACTACTAACTCTTCACTTAGCTTCACAGCCACAAGTCACCACTTATTCACAATATAATTATTCTGAAATTTGAAGTCAAGAACTTCAAGGTTTTGAAACATCTGCCAGGCATATCAAGACCCTTGAATATGGTACCTTTCCTTTACTTCTTCCATTGAAATTTTGATGCAAAGATATTGTAGAAACTCCCAGTAGCAGCAAAATTCTTCAAAACAGTTTCCAAATATTTCTTGGAGAGATGCCAGAAAGAAACTGAGTATTATATTTTTCTTATATAATACTGTATGTTATATGGTGAACAAAGCTTTCAGTCAAAACTATTTTAAATCAATGACAAAGAGGATAGTTTACCGTTCTTGTCCATCTTTTCAACGAAGCATGTCCAGAAGACTTTAATTTCACAAAAAAGAATGTGTTGAAACAATACACTGAAGGATAACTTCCCAATTTTCCTCTTTCTGTTATGAGGGACATGTAGAAATTTATCACCTGTAAACACAAGAAAAAATGATAATTATAAGAAATGTTCCAACATGTCAATGAGTGTGGACATAATAAGGTAACATTCAACATACATTAATCATGTTGCAATACTCAATATGAATACATTTATAATGTAACATCTTTAATAACACATTTACATGTGAACGTTAAATATTACCTACTGAAAACATGGCTTTGTTCGACGCCTTTATTCTACAATTACAATAATGACAATAGAGATTTTCAAATGAAACTTGTTCTCCATAATTTGGTATGAAATATGGGCTATATTAAAAGCAAGCTTTTCTCAAAAAGACTAAATTTTTCTTTAAACTTTTTGTAGAATTTTCACAAACGCTCAAATGAATTTTCTCGAAAAATCCTGCAATTTTTTAACGAGAATTTGAATATAGGAGCAAGTTTTACACTTCTATAATATTCTTAAAGACACAATTCAATTCTACTATTATGGGTCCAAAAAACTGAGCAAATGTGAAAAAACATTTCTCAGGAGTAGAGTAATGACATACCTACTTAGTCTATGATTTAGACACCGACAAGTAGCGGTTGGGAAGAGGGTGAAGCAAAACTAAATAGCTAGAACAGACTAAAGATGTTAGAAAAGTAACTAATACAAGAAAGTCTGTAGCATTCTGTATTTTCTCTTTAATTTCAGAATACAGGATTGACAAGGAGGAATCTGTGAAAAATCTGAAAATAATCTTCTCAGTTAATTCTAAGCACTTAATGTTTATTGGATCTATGTTCAATTTTGAATAATTGATCCATAATTTGATCTCAATAGTTGGGTAATAAATAATTCTTTTTAAAAAAATTCCCTTAAAGCCATAGTTCAGAAATGCATCCAACATTTATTTCCTGCAGAATTAATTAATAGATACATTTATTTATAACTATAAAGAGAATAGTACAAAAGTTCATTCTGCATTTAAAAAAGGAATCAGAATGAAGATCCAGGAAAGTAGGATATTTAGTAAGCTGTCAAATAGTGAGTAGCATTTGTTAAATAGCGGCTGAAAAATGGCATTTGTAAATTCAGTGGTTTCTGCTAAATGGTGGCCATAAGGAATTTGTTTTAAAACTACTCGTGTAACAGAAGTCAACACATCGCTGGGGCAAAACAGTCAACTATTACAAAGGGAATTTTAGAGCTTTTGCTGTAGTAGAATGTGCATTCGAATGTGTGGATAAATGTGCTGTGTATTCTAATTACATTATTTCTATATCTGAACTTTTTTCCGTCCATCTGTGCACAACATTAGCGCAAAAAAACGTTCAGCCAATTTTCTCCAACATTGATATTCCCCAATCGTTCTTGCTGATGCCGCGGACCCTGGTATTTGAAACTGATATTTCAATTTTGGGGGATATTTTACATGACGTCCCTTGGACATTTTCAAAAAAAAAGTTCCAAATTTTTTGATTAAATTGTGTTGTTGAATAGTGCAAAGGATGTTTAAGAGAATAGTGCAGGTCTCATTTTCGTTGATATCCTCGATTTTTCGAAAATTGGAAAAAAATAATTTTGGAGATAGATATTTTTGTCTCAAAGTTTGTTGCACAAAGTTAGCTCTTTAATGACGGTCAAGTACAATTTTTTTCTGGAAAACCACTGAAAATATTTTCTTTAATTTTTCTTTACTTATGTAATAAGAAATAAATATGACGTTAAGTCTCAGTTTTAGGTATTGCTATTTTGTTTTTTTCTCGAAAATTTCAAAAGTACAAAAGTGAAGATAGAGATTTTTGCTTCAGACAAAGTCTGTTGTACAAAATAAGCTCTTTAAAAAAGATCCTGTACAATTTTTTTAAAAAACTAACAGTTTTTCGGTAATTTCTACTTGAAATTAATGAAATATATACACTTTTCACATCAACAATGGGCCACGAGAAAAATTGAATTAATGATATGAAAAATAATTAATTTCATTTTAATTATAATTTACTATTGAATTTGCCAATATTTTTACAGTCTCACTATTTATTTTTTACTCCATTTGTATTCTCAATCTATTGATGTATTTCTTTTTAAGAATCTACGAAGGTTAATACAAATATCACAATAATGCGCCATTGATATTTGAGAAGCTAATTGTCGTCGAACGTCGAGATGTTGGTGGTGATAAGATACAGGTGTGTTATGAAGTCCAGCTGATGCTGGTGTAACTCCTAGACCGAAAGCCAGTACTTCCATTTGCAATGAATTTTACAACAGTTTTTTATAAATAACTCCTCAGAATGTCCAGTGATGTGAGTTATATATCATTTAATATCATCTGATCCCTAAAAACTTTACTGCTTGTTGAATAAAAGAAAAATGAGATCGAAACTTATCTTACGAAAAAGGCATAAATTACTGTATTAATATTATTAGCAAAGCAAATGCACACAGTTTTGACAATGCAGCGCTGACAACAGTGTTCTCTTCTTAGTTGAATTACACGTTTTCTACCCAGAAGAAAAAAGAACAGTTGCAGTATACCAGATCCATGATACTGTAACAAGGGAACTGGTTACAGTACCAAGGATCTGGTATACTGCAACTGTTCTTTTTTTTTTTCATGTAGTAATAGCTGAGGTGTTAGGACAGAAAATGCAATATATTTCACTATTACGTAGCTGTTTCCAATAATATGAGAGAGTATGTTCTGTTCGAGCACCACTAGTTATAATTGTAATTGAAAACATTCTATAATATATTGGTAATACTAAACAAACAGATGAATTAAAGGGATTTGATTTTCTGTGCAATTTAATGTTAACACTTAGGAATACTAGAATGGGTTCTCTCCCAAAATACTGGGCCTATAATTCTGTTACACACAATTCAGGGGTTGGCTGTTCAAAGTTGAGTTCTGCTCCGAAGCTATTTTCAAATTTTAAAAAACAATTATTATTTACAAGGTGCATAGCTTTCACATGTGTCCAAATAGTTCTGTGGATTATTAACCAGGGTGAAATGGCATTTATTTCTATAAATATTGGAAAAATGTAAGTAAAACCATATATTAAAATCCTTACTTTTTAATAATATTTTTGACTCTTGCTCACCTGATCATTAAGCCAGCCATTGCCCTTTAGAGTCTGGACGTCCTTCCCGTGCACAGTGAGGTTGAAGGCATTCACAACAACTTCATTCGGTTTGCTTGTGAAGGCCTTTTGTACCACAACCTTTCAAAGAAAGAACCCTTGGGGTAACACACAGTATCATCATCAAAGCTTAATCTCATCATTCGGATATTCCTAAATCCCATGCCCTCAGTTCTCAAGGAGAGGGAGAGAGAGAGGAAAGCAGAGAGGGAATGGCGAGAGGGAGAGAGAGAGCTGAGAGAGAAAAAAAGAGGGGGAGAGAGAGAGGGAAGAGAGGGAGAAAGAGAGAGGGGGGGGAGAGAGGGGAGGGAGAGAGGGAGGAGGGAGAGAGGGGGAGTGGAGAGAGGGGGGAGCGGAGAGAGGGGGGAGGTCGAGTAGATCGGGGTGAGAAGAGAGGGGGCAGAGTCGTGAGTGAGAGAGTGTGAGTGTGAAGAGAGAGTGCAGATGAGAGTGCTGTGTGAAGAGTGTGTTGAGATGAGAGAGAGGTGTGTTGTGTCGCTCCCCCCCTCCCCCTCTCTTGATTATGATAGGAAGGTTATGAAGGATATATCAAGCATTAACAAGCAATAATGTATCAATAAAAAATTGAAGATATTTCTTGGATAAATACATGAAAGGATTTAATTGTAAATTAATGTTTGTATGTTCAATTTTACCAATCAATTTTTTTTAAATCTACACATATTACATTTATCATTTTTTACATTATTACTTGTATACTACTAACCTTATTAAAAAAATGTCTATTGGGTATTATTAGCAGCTAAATTACAACAAAATGAAGAATCTAAAGTAGAACATTTCTTTTTTATCTGCAAAAACTAAGCACAGAAAAGAAGTGAATCTAAAGAATTTTACTGGAGTTACTATACTAAGTGGTACTCTGTGACTAAGTCCTAAGCTTCATAACTCACTTGCATTTCGCGTGTTATCTCAGGCAAAGATTCTTCCAGATCATCTTCACTATCTTCCTCTTCTTCACTTATCTCTTTTTCTACATGTACATGGTCATCATCATCATCATCATCATCATCATCATTAATAATCATTTGCTGTATCATCTGATCAGATAAATTACCCTTTTGTTTATTTTCTGAAGCATAAGGTTCAGCAGTTACCTTCTCTGAATCTTTTTCCTTCTCCTCCTTCTCTTCTTCATAATCATCATCAACCAAATTAATAAACCTATTGTGCAGAAAGAAAAAAAATAATTCTTTTTTATACAAAATATGATTCACTAAGTAAATGTGCTACTGCTAGATAGGAAATTACCCCTCAACAGTGAATCAAGTGGATTTAAGATGAAAAATGGTAAATTTTGTAGATTGTTCTACATAACGTCAGCAGGTGCATCATAATGTCATCCACATATCCTGGATAACTCTTATACTGTGCCTCAATTTTTGTGTCGTGGGCATACAAAACGAGGACCTTCTATTACATTTCAACAGTCAAATATATTAGAATATTATTATTATCACTCATAATATTAATACTTTAAGACACAGGTATCCTTTTTTCTTTTTTTGTCAATCAATGAACAAGTTTACTAAAAAAAACCCAACAAATGTGTGTTTTTTGGATTCATCCTTTTCATTTTTTATTATGTTCTATACCTTAAAAAATCCAATTGAACAGATTTGGTCAGTTCTCTCACACCTATTTATATTTTTTGAACTTATACTTGTTTTTTCCGTAATTTCATCTCTGATTTCTGTGTAATTTTATTTTTATTAATTTTATTTTAACTATAATTAGAATTTATTCATTATTTTTTCATTTTCAGACATAATTATATGAATTATTTTTTGTTTACACCTGATGTTGAGTGTAAATAAGATTCAAAATTTCTTGTTCATGCATATGGTCGATAAACATATTGAAAACTTGTTTATTGATTGTCAGAAAAGGAAAAAAAAGGATACCTGTGTCTTAAAATATCAACCTACTATTACATCTTTGGAAGTTTTCTGTGCAGAGCCACACTATAGCACGGATGGCTGGAAACCTGTAGAATCTCAAAATCTACATACAAGGTGGCCACTCATTTCCCACACTTTTCTCAGTATTCCAGTGCTACGACCCCCTTCTTCTTTTTTCTTTTCCAGAAAAGATTTGTATTTTCACGTTACTAAAAAAATAATGAAGCTGTAATGCTTTACTAATGTTTTAAAGGAATAATATATAGTTTTATATTCCTTTCAAAATTACCTGACTTTTAATGATTGTTCTACAAATTCCCAGATTTTCCTCACAATTTTTCAGAGCAATGAAGTTCCCCTATTTTTCCTGACTTTCCAGAAAGTGGTAACCCATGTAAATATAAATTTGCTATTTTACATTTAGTTTAACTTGCAATTTAATCACAATGGTCTATGTATTTCTGTTTGTTAATAACTGCTTAGCAATATTAGATTGTTTGCCCACCCGCAGCTGTAGGTGTACAGGATGTCACGCTAAGTTCAGGGCTGGTCTGTTCAAAGTTGTTCCTCTATTTTTCAATTAAAACAAGGTTTACAAATTTGGGAATGTTCACATAGGTCCAGCTAGTATACTAATATTATAATTTGCCATGTGTGCAAGCACATTTTGCAGAGTGACTTGCTGGACAATGTGCGTTTGTTAGTTTCATTAAGATTTTCTTATATGTTTGATTTCCAGGTTTCAAGCCTTTGAGCAATAGGTACGCTGGAATTGAGTGTACATAACAACATCAATAATTACAATAATAATATGATTATTATAAATAATGAAGAATTTGGCTGTGACGTTTCAGGATAAACCCTCTAAGCCAGCATTCTTCAAATAAAAATTATTGTTATGTTGCAGTTAAAAAATCAGTCATAACATCTCTCCACATCTACAATATCACAGTTTTGTTTCTAGAGCATACTGGTTAGAATAGAAGAAATAGATGTTTTGTTGGCCTGTTAACGAACTAGCCCAACCCACCGTTCCTTGCCTCTTTCAGCCTCAAAGGATTCTGGCCCTTGAACCGCACACCGCAATGTCACAAGTCATAAAACAGGAAAAACAACAAAGAAAGTTGCTGTATTAACTAGGCTGTCCGGGTGACGCCGCGTCCATGGCGAAGGTGCCGACGTTTCGGTCGCCATTCTGCGACCTTGCTCAGGGAGGAACGTCGGCACCTTCGCCATGGACGCAGCGTCACCTCGACAACCTAGTAAATACTGACTCCGGCCGCGGAAGCCTACGCTCTCAAAGTTGCTGTAGTTAATCACCAGACGCTAATCTCCTTTTCAACCTGACATGCGAGCCACGGTTGTGCCTCGACTGGCAGCAAAGATGCATGGTTGTCACATTATCCCAACAAGAGCAGGTACTTCCACACATGGGTTGCAAGATGAAATAAAGATCCTATGTAGATGTCATTCTTTCCACTTCAGGAACTGGGTTTGATTTCCAGCCAGCGCAAGTGGAATTTGTGGAAGAGAGGTTTTGAGCAAGTGTTCTAGTTTTTTATTGAAATTTTTCCTTTTATTCATACACCACCTCTCCATTATCATTTAAACCTTTGTAGGATTGTCGTTCTCTCTGAAACCACATGGTGTACAGTTGTTTTTTGCTTAGTTAAGCCAAGCAATTTTCACCAGTATGGCCAATTTCGCATTGTAATCTTCTTCAATGTAATAATATTCTTTCAGATAGTGGGATTACATTAATTCTAAGAAATCTAGTTGCTGTGCATGTTATGTGGTCATCGTCACAACCACAATGCACACAAGCAGTGTCACGGAAATTTCATGTGAGCATTTGTCAGAGTGGTGATTTTTCATGTTTCAACTTTCTAGAATTTTTCAAGAATGCAGGTTTGTTAATTATTTATTATTGTTTATTGAAATGTTTTTAAGCATTGCAATGAATTTAACTATAAAATATTAAATTTTTATTTTGGATATGAGGATTATTTATATTTGCAAGGGTGTAGTTAGGAATACGTACATAATTGGAATTACTTTTTTGTTCCTTGAAAATGTGAATTTCAAAAAGTTTTTAAACAATTAAATTCATTATCTAATAATGTACGATTGCGGCTAAACAGATTTAGTTTTTTGAAACATTTGCCTCATTTACCTTGTTACTTTTGCTCGTAATATTTGCGTAGTATATTCTGACATAATATTAGTTACTAGTGGCGTTCTTTGTTGGAATGCATAAAATTTGAATATATGATCAAATAGGCATTTATCAATTTCTAGGGAAGTATTGTCAAGAATGAGGATGCAGCATTAGATTCGGAGTATGGAGGAAGTTCCGCTGCAGATGATACATCGCCAATAACACAACAAACGACCTCTAGTAGCCCACGTTTCCTTCACTTAAATCTATGATTGAATTATTTTAGTTTATCGTATGTAGGCCTACCTGTTTATCATATTTTTCACTATTTATTTTCTTATCGTCAGGGAAAACCTGAGAGTTAATTAAAAAAATTGTAAAATGCAAATTATTTAAACATCCTGTCTCAAAATATATACACGCCAATGGAAAATACCTTTACATTTTATCTTGATAGATTTATATATGCTATAAGTAATATTAGAGCTATAACTACATTTACTTATACCTAAATAAAAAACATTGTAAACTACGATATTCTATGAAACCCGTTTGTAAGAGAGCCAGAATGGGGTTTACAGTTTAATCATCCAATTAGATAAAATTACTAATATGAAGTTATATGTGAAATCCAGGATGTGGAGGCAGGGCAAGCACATTATGAAGACCCTACTTAAAACAAATTGATGTATTATACTCGATTTGCTGCATTCTGTTTACATTAAATAAATTTAAGGTTCTCAACAGTACATTAATGGCTCAAAATTGTCAGGGTAAACAGAACTATCCAATAAAAAATATAGTCATATCTTTTCTAAAATACCATGAATATTTGTGTATTATAATTAAAATGTTGCTAAATATTTTAATGTGGCACAGATTAGAGTCATTTACAATAGATACATCACAGGAGAAAAGTAACTGTTGTACAGTTCAGTACCCATAGTACGAATTTGAAACCTGAGATCCTCAATAAAGGAATCAACCCACAACAAATTGATTTTGCATATGATTAGTTGACAGTGTGTTGCACCCTGCATTAGAAGACGGCAAGCACAAAGAGTTGGTAAATAAAACAAGAGACTTACGTATATTCTGCATTAGGAATTTTTTGCGAGTGAGCTGAAGATGTACTGGCTTCATACTCTGGAAAGCGCTGGTCCAATACAGTTTGCAGTGATGAACCTGTGTAAACAAATACAAGCATATGTTGGACAGATGGATTGTTTAAATAATTTTTTTTAAAATATTGGGCAATGATCAACTTTGATCTCATTTCTCTGAGCTTCTTTGTACATATAACCATTCTACAGTTGTTGCTTCCTGCACACCTCTGAAAAACACTTTCTAGATTCTTTGTTTCTTTTATAAAACCATGTATGATGTGGCCTCTACTAAAACAACTTGAGTATGCATTATTGAATTTCTTTGTCTTAATGAGCTACTCAGGTCAGCAATCAGTATGACAGTATTGTTGAAGAAAATCATTATGTTCAACTTCTGTCACTCATATTGTGCTTTTCCCATAAAATTCCACATTGCTTTGCAACAAGGGAACTGACAGTTGGAGATTTCTAACACACAAGTCTCCTGCTGGAAACATAGCACCCTACTTCTGCCATCACTGCATTATTAGTAAGGGAAGTTGCATGGAGTGCAGTAAAGAAAAGCCCCTTACCTTTAAGCACCCACACAAGCAAAAAATTGGCCACCCATTAGAAAAACACACCCCTTTTCTAACTAGGAATCAACTACCAGAGCAGCCATATATTGTCTAGTTAAAGATTTTGCCAGTACATCACTGAATAGCAGCCAATTGGCCTCCATGCAATCATATATCAAATGATTTTTGTGTCTGTATCACTTGAAACTGTAAGTAAACAATAAAGATTTCTTTGTATATTTTAAACTAATAACTGTATTTTTGATGGGGACAACCTGGCACTTATTTCCTTATTTTTTTAACACAACAAAAGCTACACAAAATTTTCCATTGATTTTTACTGAGCCCAATTCATTGATACATAAATCATCAACTCCGTTACCTGAGACAGAGTGTTCTGTTTACTCATCAGAAAATAAAAATAACAAATAAAGAAGCAACTGATTTTAAGACAATCTTGGTGGAAAGTTTTACTTACAGATTTTTTATTTTATTTGGAAAAACATGGCCCCAAAAATGTTTTTCTTACAAAGCTTATAAATTCTATGAAATTCCTCCCTAATACTTTCAAAATATTAATAATAATAATAATCCTTAATAATAATGTTTATAATCAGGAAGGGGATAAATTGCTAACCTGTGATAGCTCATGTAACATTAAGGATAACCATTAAGCTTGTAACAATACAAAAGAAGAGTACTATAAGGGGTCATCCATGAATTATGAAAAGCCAAAGAGGGCAGGAGGGGTACATAGGGATAGGGGGGTATATGTTTACTGTTATTGATATATATATAAATTTTAAATTCTTCAACATTTGTTTAAATACATCCTTTTTTTAGTTTTATACTAAAACTTCAAATTATTAACAAATTTTTTACAACCTAAATAAATTAAAAACATTAGAAGTTGTTAGAATAAATAGAAATATTTTTATCATTTTTTTGAATCTGTACGATTACGAAGAAAATATTCAAAACTGATCTGCAGTAAATCCAATTAAATTGGCACAGTAGTCCCTTGCCCATGCATCGTGTTCACGGCTTGTGATCTGAAATTTTCCCGCCTATGCTCCCTTCCTTCACTCATACTCGCCCCCCACGTTATCATTAGATGCAAGTTTCAGCATCGCCAAGTAATTCAGACTTGTAATTCATCATAAATTTAATACAACACTTCACAAAATGAATACAATTTCTTTTTACTTTCTTCTTAGTTATTTTAATATCTTGCATTTACAAGGGGAGGGAGATGTCACAAATTTTTAAATAATTATTTTTGGCGGGGGGGGGTTCCCAAGCTGTGTTAACGGGGGAGAGGGGGGTATTCAAAATTCTCCAAATTTGCGGTATGTATTTTATAGACCGCTCCAAACACAAGATAATTTCTTACCACATTGCTATTTTAAAATAAAAATAAATCAGCGAAACTCACATGGATTCTCAGACTCTTGTTCTAAATCTATTACATCATTTCCGACAATTTCTTTGGCACTTTTCATCTGTACATCCTCCTTGGTTGCCTTGGTTCCTTGAGGGACCTCAACTACATCGTTGTCAGAATCCGAATCCAAATTCACACATTCCACAGTGGGTGGCTTGTTTCCGATTGCAAGCCTGCAAACAATTCAGATCAGAAAAGACTGCACGGTTGGAGCACCTTTTGGAGCCGCTGCATGTGAACGCACCTGGTGGGGGTGTTTGGTAACTGGTCAGTTATGGGGTTTCTGTTAAATTGAAAATTTTGAAATGTTTGCCAAAGATGAGGGGCAATGCAATTTGATATGAATATTAAATAAGAAGCAACTATCATTCCATACCCAACAATGGCTTGAATGAGTTGCTTATATCTCCTCCTCTCTTCCAATCGAACTGCCTGAAACAAAAATGAGGAAAAAATAAGTGAACATTTTGCTGAGGGCTGCTGAAACAAACCAGTACAATTCAACTGAATTATTAAATAAATAGATGCATGTAAAGTGAACTTCCAGTAAGAAACCGTGACTAACTAGTCAGGGATCAAAATTCCCACAAACTCTGAAAAGTGAGAACTAATAAAATTGGATATAACAAATCAATACATTGAAATTCCTTTAAATAGGATTCCTTCAGTAACTCTTTAAAGCATCCATTTACAGGAGCATTTGAGATGAATAATGATAAAAAAGTAAGTTTATCACTCATTTTCAAAATATGAGTGTCCAAATTGAGGTTTATTTATTTACACACAACAAGGCAAAGCCCCAAAGAGAGTAGGTCTCTGCAAATACAAAATAAATTTCCTTTATTCTTCATTGAATGCTGTATTTATCTGAATATAAGACCATGTTTTTCCAAAATATGAAGGTTTTCTAATAATAGTCATTTTGCTATGGCTTTTCCACGTCAAGAGACTCAAATCTGATGTAACAATAAGCTGCAAGACTATAAAAAGCCATGCACATGTAAAAGCAATTACCCATCTACATGGTTGCCCAATGCCTGTGGCATTCTCAAAACACACACACACACAAGGCAATCCTGTGAGATCTGTCATTTCTGCAATAGGTTTACCACACTACAAATTTACAAATTTTCCAAATAGAGAGATTTACTACCAAATAATTATAATTATGTAACTAAGAATAGTCTACAAACCATGTGAGAAGTACCGATGTGCCAACAAAGAGTTCATTTAGAATGGTTTCTTTTGATGTTGTTAATAAGCTTCCCATCATTCCTCTGGGATCTGATTTTTCAAGACTTATCTCGAATGTATCACAAAAATAACCCTTTGAACAAAATTCCATTATAAGAATTAGAGAGAAAGAGATCCTATTTATTCTGAATAACAAGCATTTTTCTTTTGATAATACAACCTATCTTCAGTGTCAAAGAACATCTGTAGGAGGTTCTGCAGATCGATTTTTGTAAAAATTGTAATGAGGGACCTTCATAGTGCTCAGTTGTTGTCATATTGCATTTTATAATAGATAATTGGATGATAGTATTACAGTTACAGAACAGGATCAAAAATAAGAATAGGATCCTTATTCAATTCTTTTAATGATTATCAATCATTTATCAAGTTACGATTGAGATGGAAACACATGCACAAATACATTTCTTAAATGTTTCTTAGTTATTTACAAATAGATGTATAATAACTAACTGGTCGACAAAAGACGCTTCCTACTCAATTATAATTCAGCTCAATCACGAAGGAAGAAAAGAATAATCTTTAATTTAATAGACAAAGTGATACAATTATCCAATAAAACATTCTATAATAACAATTTTATAAGAGACTAAAAAAGTTTGTTAATGAAAAATGATTTCCCTTCAATTTTATTATGAAAACAGTATGCCAATGCTTGAAACAAATCTTATGAGACAATCAACTGCAAAGCACTGGAGCTAGAACTTGCGAAAATGAAGATATTGAACTTGCAATTACCAAACATTCAACCAGGGTTTCGATGATGAAATCAAGTGATTTCATCATTCAGTGAAGACACCTACTCGATTATCCATGACATGATACAAAATTATTGACAAGGCTTGACTAAAGTTTGGACTTTACTATAAATCCATAGAAAACAATGGGCCAATAAGGAGATCTATTCTGTTTCACTTGTAATAAAGTGAAAGCCCCAGACGACTCGTGCACACTCACTTTCCTTTTTCAGGTGATGCCTGACTGTGGCTAGAGTCATTTGTAGCTTTTGCAATGCTCTAGAATGACATTCTCTGTGGAGGGGCTTCTAGAGCAGAAGCAGGGAGTGCGTGTCAGGGCCTTCCAATTCTCCATGAAAACTGGGGACAAAGCTGAAGGGTGCTACAACAGGAGGCACAAGTGTCACGAGTGCAGCTGCAGGTTAGGCTTGCCGACTTTCACACATAAAAATTGGCTAATTTGTGAGAAATATGGAAAGTGACGTTCAATTATTCATAATATATACATATAAGAAACCTCTGAAGAAAGCGCGAACACTGACACTCTTCTTTGTAACACTACAGGTCTGATTGTGTTTTGCAAACCCACGCAGCAGCTACTCCTGTTTTACGTAGCGTTTGCAGCAGTTCGCGTTTTAGTTCCAGTAAGACAGTGCTGCAGGAGAGCGCGCCACTGTAATGATTTCCACCACGTTTTATGGGAGTTAAAAAGCCCTGGTGCTGAGGAGGGGCACTTATACTGTGAAAGCCCTCAGAGTCTGCAGATACTTCCACACTCGCTGGCTGGTCAAAGAAAGAAATGGAAAACCACCTCCTTTTCTCCACACGCTTAGTTTGCCTAGAAATTACCAGGAAATTATTCTCGCCAGTGGCACTTTTGAGACTCTAAACTAGCCAGGAAGACTGCAGAATGCTCAATAAGGTAAATATTGATAACTAGTTTGGCCTGGCGACTTCGGTAGTGGGTATTTCAAGTTAACAATTTTTAATTGTATTAAGCAAGCTCACATTGAAAGGAAATTTTAAAAACAGTACCATTTCCTGGCTCATCTATCTTCAGAAAGAGAGTTACATGAAAAAGTCTTGGTCAAAGTACTTTTAAAAAAATGTTGGTATCATTACATTAGTAAGTTTAAACTATTGTCCTTGCAATGGAAAACAATTGTTCCAGCAACAAACTGTTGAATAATATCCTAAGGGTTCAAATTAAGCCGGAAACGCAATGTGGTATCCGCAGCATTTCACACCAGTAGGTGCTTTCCCCTTCCCCCTGAATTTTTTTCTCTCTATTCTGGAAAGATCCACCTAGAAATAGAGCAAATGGATTCGACTTTTAGAGGACCCCAAAACACATTTTACGCGCTTAAACCTATTTCCTATTGCAATTCCAACCCCAATCATGGCAATACACAAGAGGGAAGTCTTACCTCACCAACACAAAAGAGCTTTCTTCTCAACACTGATGAACATGAATTACGAAAAGAACTGGAAGTGATATTTCTTCTTATAGTAACATATTTTACTGTGCTGTTGGTTTCGGTTCTTTTTCTTCGCCGGATGTTAGAAACGTGCAGCCCATATGGATCATGTGTTCTTTGAGGTCCCAAAACCACACCTGTAATTACAACATCATTATCAATTTATTCAAAAGTGTCATGATTATGATCTACCAAAACACATCTTTTTTGTCTACGAATAGTGTGTATATGTGTGATAGCAATAATTTCAAGTCATTGAATTTAATAAAAACACAGTATACTCAGTAATATGTAAACATTACATGTAATTCTGTATTATTATGTTTTAATTTTATCTTGACAGGTTTTCTTTCATCAGCCAGTGGTCCTACTTGCAAACACTGTTTTATTTCTTTTAATACATCATTTGTCCTGCTACAAATGTGTTTACTTTTTTGGTTGCAAAAATGTCTTAGATTTTTGAAAACTTGTCGTATTCAGTTCTTTTTTCTGTTTTATCCTATTTCTCACCAGTTTCTGTACTCACATTAATTTTACCAGGTATTCTACACGAAATGCACTTGAAAGGGGTGTTTTTCTCCCTAATAAATTTCAATGTTATAAGTTAATACCTGATGCTACATGCTTATACTTTATTTGCATTGTGTTAATTAAGAAGCATTTTTTAAAATGATTTTGCATATATTTGTCCGCTGCTTCAGGGCATAGCCAAGTGAAATTTCTTGACATTTGGTTAGAATTGGATACTATGTAGATTAACATGTAATTGCATATTGGGCCAATTTTTCTAGTTGGGGCATATTCATATAATTATAGGCGCATACTTTGCATATTTCGCTAAAACAGAATTTTCTCTAAAACGTTTCAACATTTCATACGATCCATTTATTTCTGAGCGTTCTTCACTTACAAAGAGCTTGTCACAGTTTGCATTTTGTTGCTTCTCTCTACATAATAAAATACTTGAGCAACTGTAGGATATTTCATGATTTCATTTTTTTAAACCATGCAGGCAGAAGAAATGCAACAAGATATACAACGTACTTCACTAAGGTAAATATTTTCTTTAATTATTTTTCCTGCAAAGTAGGGTAGATTATACAGTAAAACCCCTCTTTTATACTTTTCAGAGGACCAATGAAAAAAGTGTAAAACATACGAAAGTTGAAAAACGATAGGCTAGGCGAGTAAAAGCATGTGTCGAAATCAGCGATTTTTGTTGGAAAATCTCCTATTGACGTGCCCTGGTAATGAAAAAGTGGATAAATCATATTCATATATATAGTAAATTATTTCCTCTAACACGTGATATAGTCTGAATCACTGTTTTATGGGCCCTTGAAACAGCAAAATCGATTGATGGCGTTTTTTCAACGTGAGCATCTTAACCACCAGCTGATTTCTCCAAAATTGATATTCCTCGATTGATCTGAACGTGAGACTTTTGTGAGTTCATAACAAATATATGTAGTCATTTACTAGAAATTGAAACAGGATTTATCCACTTTTTCAGAATCACTACGAGTTTTTCTGTCGAAAAATCGCTGTTTTCTGCCGCAGCATTACATAACTTTCTGAGCACTAGGTACAAAACTTAAGTATACGAGAAAGTTAAAAAAAAAATTTAAATAAAGACGTAAAAGACAGGAAGCACTCTTCATATCAAGTTGTAAATTGTGGGAAGAGAATGCATTATAAATATAGGCTTTTCAACGGGACCAACGAAAAGTTACGTAAAAGGCAGCAAAACGTAAAATGCGGGAACGTTTAAACGGGGTTTTACAGTATTCTGTTTGCACAAAAATATCTCTTTTCATTCCAAGTACCCTTCTTCTGAATTTTATCGAGAGGTTAATGCAGGAAATGAAGTATTGTTAATTTTAATTGCATATTTGAGAATTTTTAGGTCATAAACACATATTTTTAAAAGAATATATCAAGATTTTTTGGACATAAAATTCCTTTTCCTAGTAATAATTATGAATTCTGTTTTACAAAAACAACCAATCTCTCACATTTTCTTTTACTTTTAGCATCTTATTATTCAAGTTTCATGATTATTTGTGACTTTACCAGGGTTGCTAGGGGACCACTTTCCCCTCAAATGTGCATTTCTTGTTAGATGCTTCAAAAAATTGGAAATTTAGACTTTTATTTTTCACTTGAGTTAGAATATCATGATTGTGTTTAGAATGCTTCAATTTTTTTCATTCATCTGAAATTTGTATTTGAAAAAAAAATTAAGATTACTACTTTTTGAGACAATCTTTAATTGGTTAAAATTTAGTATACAGTACACCCTTAGAGAAGCGTGGTGGCGGGGCATAAGCCCTAATTACTGTACACGCTCTAATAAAAATGAATAAAACTCACGGATAGGCGATTTTCATGGTTCGCCCTTCATATGCTTTGTCACCACCGCATTGTAACGCCTATTTACTTTCAAAGGCAAGTTTTCTCGTTCGCTCACCCGAATCCAAGTCACGGGGAGGCTCGGGCCTTCAGCCCTAGCGTTCACTACAAACATCCTTGAGTATTCACCCCTTAATTACCCATTCACTTTTCAAGACAGCCTCCAGAATTCTAACTGTCTAGTTAACGCCGGAACGGCACGAAGTGCCGGTTTAAACAACTCCCTAAGTTGTACCGTATACTCCCCTTTCCCCTTTCAGCCCTTTAATTTTCACACCCAGTAACACTTTACCATTATAAATAACAGAATAGTTCAAGCAAATAAACTGAACTCACTGCTTTAGTCATCTAATGAGACATTTACACTTCTAATGACAAGTTCACATGGTAGGTAGTTATGGGAATAATGTGGGGGTGACGTTTTAACATCTCTTCCTCTCCAAATTATTAGTACAGAATTTGAAAGTGTAAATCATTGTTTCTTTTCCTCATATTTATATCTGCATTACATGTTTTCTTATAAATTTTATATTTTAAACAGAAAACAGTAATATTTTCATTCAATTACTTAGTTGCAAATATAAAGACACAGGTTTCAATGGCCAATATGCTTGGCATCAAATTTTCATTTCATGGTGTTCACATCATTCATAGTGTTAAAATAAATAAACTTCATTGATTACTAGCAAAAGAATTGCTGAAAGAGATTAATCATACCCTCCAAAAATGAGAAACATTATTGAATATAGGAACTAATTCTTGCAAGACTAACATACATTTAACACTTATTCATGTATACTCTTCATACTACACCATATTAAATCATTCTAATTCAGCAACATACCTCTTGGATATTTTTTATATGATATTTCATCAACCACACACACATCATCCGCATCATCTGTAACGGGTGTTTTTTCTTTGGCTCTAGGGGAAGAAACTTTCCCCATCTAAAAAACAAAGGTCATTATTCCATTTCTACATTGGAACATATAACATATAAAATGAAGAATCACTTACTTTTGAAACTGACTTAATTTCCTCAACTTCATCCTCTTCATCTGAGGGAACCATCATTTTGATATCTTCCCCAACAGAAACATAAACAAAAATTATATATATAATAATTATTAATATATTATAAATAAGAATAAAGACAACTTTTGACACACTAATTACCAATATTTTTCATTCAATTAATTATTTCAAACTGATATACAACATTTGTCAAAAATAAAAAAACAACTGACATTATGCTTTGAACAACTGTCATGAATTCTTAAAAAAGAGCCAAAGATATGGAATAACATAATCTCAGTCAGAATCACCATGTATGGGAGAGGAAAGCAGCTATACCAACACTATCACAATATGAAATAGGTATTTGAAAGTTATATTAATAAAAATTTAAAAGGAAAGGAATTTATTTCTTTAAAGGAGTTTAAAAAAAATAACTGATTTGTTTTGTTTTCCACAATTGATTTCCGATAACAATATTATCTTTCAGTATCACAACTTGTAAATTAGACAAGTAAAATTTATGAGATACCATCTACTTCAATAGTATTAGAAATGACGACATGACACTGCAAATAAAGTAGTAATTCAGTGATCAAGACAGTAAAGTTGTATAAAAATCAATGCATAAATATCTTCTTCTTACACATTAGTATCAGGGATTGAGTAACATCATAAGTACAAAATGTCATGTAAAATTTATCTGACAGCAAGAAATCTTATCTTTACCATTGTTTCAAATATGAATGTTTGAAATATTAAAATTGGATTCATAACTCAAAAAAACAATTACATTACACTTAATTTTGAATATTTCAACACTAGCATTTTTAGAAATAAACTGCCCAATTCAATTAATATCCTTAGGACATTTAAAATTGTATGGGCCCAGATTGTATTTTTTCCCTAATAGCATATCACAGAGTTTCTGTTTGCAGCATTAAATAAATCATCTCGCACGACTTTGCCAATACCCACAACATATTTACAAGGAGCCTACACTTAAACGACATTACTTATTGGTGACACATTCGTGAAATTATGTTTTCAAAACCTCGTTAAGTATGGTAAGTTATAAATGTTTACCTGTCACATACGTTCATGCGTATTTTTGTCATAAAACAGGAGTTCAAAGATTTGTGTCATTTGTTGTGGAATGTAAAATATACTCTAATTAAATAACACTTAATGTTGTTTTGCCTACTGGCGAAACAACACTGATCAACTCTGACAGGCGCTACCTTTTGCAAGCTTCAAGTTCTGAGGAGTAAATCATGTAGAACAGATGATTAATACACGGTTTAAAAAACCCACTTTCACAATTACGGCACCCGATTTCGCTCAATATACTACGTCCTAAGCGATCCTGTGAGCCCCAGAGAGTATTCTAAGGATCACTAGTGAACATGCAACACATCGTCTGCATTATCTGCATAATAAGATAACACAAATCTGCACACAAAGAATGCTCACTTGTCTCTGATCAGTACCAAAAACAATTGACAGACATATCAGATGGTAACACTGTTGTCGGATCTACTACCAAAGAGTAGAGAGTACGTTTCCAAGAAACCTACCAAGTCCTCTTTCGCGCAACAATTTTTTGATTGCTATATCCCAAATAATTACAAACAATTATTACAACTTGTATAAGTACTTTTAAAGTAATACACAAACATCTTAATTTACATTTTTATATCATGTAATTCTCGCCTAAAAATCCTGGCGTATTAAAAAACTTCAGTGGCGTGAAGAGTCCTCTTTTTAAAAAAACATAATGCAATTCATCAACACGTTGCTTGTTTACATTTTTAAGAGTTGTTGCAGGTTTTTCGCCAGTAGTTACAATATCAATGCCTTACACAATTTTCTCTTTCCAGTGGGAGCGCTGTAGTAAATTTTACACAAGGAGATTTTTTGGATTTGCTATCAACTTATTGTTAGCAAAGACTTCTGCGTTCTTGGCGTTCCTTGCAGATATTTTTAGTGATGGATTCCTGCAGCCACTGTTTAGTTTTCACGCGATATTCAGTTTTTGTAACGTGCTATTCGCGATAAGGGTATGGTGTCGTATATTTGAAAGTATACAAATTTATTTAAAAACAACATTATTTAAATAAAAAAAACTAGTGGTGCAACAGAATGAAAAAACGAAAAAATCTGAAATATTTATTAACAATTTGTGTTTTGAGAGAAACTAATCGGATTTTTAAAGCCTTTTCCAGAGTTCAAGGACCCACTACATTTTTTGTTATTTTCTTTCAAAAATAGTTTTTGCGTTTGAGTTTGGCAATGACAAAAAAATAAAAAAATGTTTTTCTGATAACATGAATTATTTTCAAATATCCAGATAAAAGCAAAAAGCAGCGATTTAGTTTAGTTTATTTTGCATTTTCCCCTGTGGAGCAGAACTTTATCGATGAAGGAAACATTGATTAGAATAGAACACCTTCTCTACCCGAAAAAAAAGATAGAACTGGTGAGAAAAATCGTCCCGAATTTTTTGTGGATCGAGCATCATTTGTCTGAAACAGTACTCATAACTAGAGACAGAGTTCCACCAAGTATCAAATGCTAAAATATGCATGCAAACATACATTTTCAAATAGCCAAACATGCACGACGAAGAACAAAAATTATCAAAACATGCACAATCAAATTTGAGTTTAATTTATTTCCTGTTTTATTGCCTTTTTAACAATTTACAATTTTCCTCAATTTTACTCTGTCAAATTCATCGTTTTGTCAGAAACAAACGTTTTAAATGCAGACAATGCTTTCTACGACAAGACGTAATTGGCGTGTACTTCGAAGATGAAATTTGAGTCAACGTGAGGTCAAATTCGGCATTTTATGATTTTTTACCTTAATATTCTTTTTACATTTGGGAGAAATATCAAATCAGAATTTGAATTTAACACGTATATAAATTCTCTTCAGTAGCGACACTCAACTCCAAAACCTAATTCCAAAAATATTTTAATGTCTTTTACAAATTTTAATGCATTTTACAAATTTAAATGACTCGGTGAGAGATAAACCTTCTGCTTCTCATTTCTGAATTGCTAAAGGCAATTTCACAAAATTTGATTTTATATATTATGTTAATTTTTACAGACATATTTTTTTAAAACCTTTTTCCATTGCCGTATACCTTTATACGTATCCCGTATACGGAGTAATATATGTAGTATAGAAAAACTTAAGTAATGCTGTGAAAAATCAATTTTGAAATTTCAACGGAAATACACGTTTTGGGGTTCCCTAATACCGAAAAAATTGTTATTTTCAAAACGCCCGTCTGTCCGTCTGTCCCCCCGTGAAATCCACTAGCATCTAAGCCATACATAGGATTTTTTCCAAATTGAAGAATCCCCTGTCCATCTGACTCGGGTCGTATTTTAGATTTTGAAAAATCTTCTTTAAAATTTGGGGGTACTTTACATGAAGCTTCTGGAACATTTTCAAAATTTTCTCAAAAAACGGCCAAATGTTATCTAAATAAAAAAAATCTTTTAGAAATCGAGTAAAATACACCTATAAAGGTGACAAAGGCCCGATTTTCACAGATAACTGTGAATTTTTGGTGATTGCCAAAGTTTGATTTTTTTAGGCGTCTTCCTATAACTACAAAATTGAAGATAGATTCTTGCTTCAAATAAAATTTTTTCTCCATAATTAGTTCTATCAATAAGATCATGTACATTTTTTGAAACTTTTAATAGATTTTTTTCGCAATATGGCGTGCAATTTGTAAACTTTCAAAAAATAACAAAAACAAGATTTTCCCAAAATACGGTTCCAAGTTTTTCTCTAAAATTTTGGTAGGAATAGTGCCAAATGCACTCTATTATATGCTATAAACGCAATTTAGCTCTAACCGTTTGTTTTTTCAAAAATTACAAAAATGTAATTTTTTGACTAGTCCTTCACATCAATAATATTTACATTAGCGGCGATTTCTTTACATTATTGCATTTACAAGTACTTGTTCTTTTAATGATGTCTAATAAAGTTTTATTTCAAAACTAACAGTTTTCTAAGAAAACTAGCTCAAAATTCCGTATTTTCAGAAACGTTCAAACGCCATTTTCTCAAAAAACGTCTACAAACTTTTTCTTCAAACTTTTTGTACGCATAGTGCTAATTGCAATGTTTAAGAAACATAGTTGATTTTGATGTATTCTTTTATTTTTTCAAAAAAAATACACATATCAGGGGCGGCTCGTGAGTATTCACATGTGCGCACCCAAATTAATTCGGCGCAATTTGTCTCAAGTATCTTGCGCGCGTACGCATTGCGAACGCATTGCTGTGCAGTGATGCAGGCGTAAGCATTGAGTCAATCGAATGTTATTTGCACATTTTCTTATGCTTGACAGCGAGCTGCAATTACAAATCAATTTCGAAGAAAGTGAAAACCAAAATATTTTGTAAACGTGTGTAGTAGGCTACTTTTTAATTACGAGTTTTGAAAAACCGAAGTTAGAGTGTTCGTTTTCCTGTCAAATGTAGTTGTCTAACAATGAATGGCGTCGAAGACATGAAAATGACATAAATGAATAAAAATCACAGAAAAAAATTGCTGAAAATAAACTGTTTACTGAAGCAACACAGATTCTAGGACGTGTCGAGTCATGCGGTAACCCGACCCAAGTCGTAAATATTTCGGAGGGTCCTTGGGAGGGCCGAACAAAGTCGAAGCTGGTGCTGTGAAAAGAAATGGGGTCAACCCTCACTGCTGACAAAAGGAACTGTTCAGTATGGTACGTAACTTCGTAAGATGTCTTGTGTTTAATTGTGATTATTTATAATAATGAATATTTGTGAATGCTTGTAACTTATGCCTGTATGAATGGGCATGTGTGTGTGTGTGTGTGTGTGTGTGAGTGAGTGAGTGAGTGAGTGAGTTAGTGAGTGAGTTAGTGAGTGAGTTAGTGAGTGAGTGAGTAAGTGAGTGAGAGATAGATAGATAGATAGAGAGAGAGAGAGAGAGAGAGAGAGAGAGAGAGAGAGAGAGAGAGAGAGAGAGAGATGGATGGAGAGATGGAGAGAGAGAGGGTGGGCGGAATGGAGCGAGAAGAGACTTTGCACACCGTAATAGCAGGGCCTCAAGCCATCACTGACGCAAACGCAATTTCTTTGAAATATCTCTAATGCCTTTAATACGCACATTTCCAGCAATTTGTATATACTACTGCATTTGAGAGTTGAATCGCTTAAAATATCTTCCATCAATTATTTCGAAGAGTCGATAGTTTTCGGTGAAAAAAGCTTCAAGTTTCCCATTTGCAGTAAGGCATAAACGCCGTTTTTGTAAACACTGCTCCAAATTTGTCAACGAAAATTGCCATGTAGGACGATCGTTTACTCTTCCTTAATATTCTTAGTGAAATATTTCGCTTCTTCTGTTAGGAAACCGAAAAATTGAGTAAAAAATGTACTTTGGACGGCGATGAATTTTGGCAGGCCAAAGGACCGAAATGCTATACCTGGCCAAAGAAATTGAATCGTTTATTTCAGAAACCCGTCAAATGCCAAAATCTAAAGCACGCATTAGCAGTGGATTATTGTTCCCAGAGGGTAGACAGAGCATTTAGTGCATTTTTTATGAAAAAAATTCATTTATCATCTGCTTTAATAAATAAAAATATTTTGGCAACAGAAAAATTGTGAGACTTTTCCTGAGGTTTTTTCGAATTGAGGAATTTGGCACTTGACGGGTTTTTGAAATAAACGATCCAATTAAGAAAGTGTAGTACGAAAAAGTCTGTGCCATTTTGTAGCACCACTAGTTTATTTTTTGCACGGCAACGCACTGACAGTCTGCTCTTGATCACATGCTATCAAATGATCACATGCTGTCCCCATGTTATCAAATGATATTGAGGAACGTCATCCTACATTTTCATTATCTTTTGTTACTTAATCGCTTGGTTCATTTGCGATTGTGGCTCATTGCACACGTACCTGCTTCGCAATCTTAGCACGTGTGCCGCAAGGTTAAAATTTCTAGTATAAAAATAAGCAAAGGCAACTCCGTACTGTCAGGATCTACGAATTATACTCCATTTATCCAAAATATGCGTCAATTTTAATTTTCCCAAATTATGTAAAATTAGCTTTAAAAAAGTTTCTAATACGCTTCATAGATGTTAAAATATGCAGTACTAGTTGAAAAGATTACCAAACATGCATTTCTTCCCAAAACTACTAAAACATGCAAACGCACGGAAAAAGTATGAATTTTTAAAATAAGTATGTCATGGAAACTTCATTTACAGTTTCAAAGCTCTACAAAGCATAAATAAAATCATGTATTTGTATGAAAATCCTGTCTCTACTAATAATAATAATAATAATAATAATAATAATAATAATAATAATAATAATATTTATTGAGTCACATACATACTTACAATCGTGTTTGACGAGTCAATATGATGCCTTGGGTGGAGAGAGCGAAGTTACATTACTGTTCAGGAGCAAACAAAAGGGCCATCTCAGC